TACGCTGCGGAATACGTAAAAAACAAAGATAATCCTAATCGTAATCTCAAATCAAATCTGTCCTCTTAAACTCAGTCTCTCCCAACACTGTACCAAACGACAGCCCGACCGCAGCAGATGCAGCTCTGCTCTGGTATAGACTGGCGCTCAACGCTCTATTACTACTGATTAATTATAACCATGACAACCAGCTATTAGAAGTTGGAAAGGGTTGACGACAAGAAAAAGAGCGTGCGGCGAACTCGTACACAGGCCAGCGTTGACATTTTCTTTTTCAGAACTTCAGTTTTTGAATTCGATAGCGCGTCACAGAATACACAGATGTTTAAGTTAAAAGACTGGAAAGCCTGATGAAAGATTTGCTTTATTCACGGCTATGTTAGGCGTACGATGCTAAAAGGTGAGATCAAATTCTTCGTTGTTATTTTCAAAGCGTGAAAAAAAAATGCGTGAAGATATGCTTGTATTTGAAAGGCCTTTCTACTCATACGCTTCAATATTTGTTGTAGAACGAAAATTAATCCATCACAACAACAATAATAGAGTGCAACGGTAAGTTGAAAGTATTTTATCAGAGTAAAACGCTAAGTACTTGCCTGGTCATGCGCTCTTTTACTATTGCATCCATGCCGCTTACTGTCATTTCCCTAGTCCCGTTAGTTAGTCCGTATGTGCGTTCATTTGTCTGATTTCTTACGCCGCAGCGAAAACAACTGATCCTCGTAGTTGCTAATTTACCCGATCTTCCATCTACCTATTCTTGTCGCTTTCCAAGTCCTGCATTAAACCACCATGTCCCTGCGTTCAATTTTTTAAAGCCAAGGTAGAAAGTAGGCGTGAGCACAAGTAAACCGAAGAAAGCGAAAAACAAACGAATCTTCGTTTAAGGGGGATTTCCCAATCCTTTAGCGCGTATATGAGATCTTTATGAGATATCTTTTCGAAATACATGATAACATTTAGGGTCCGCCATGCCACTATGAACTGCTGATCGATTTTCATACAATCATCACTATGCATAGATGATGGGTATCCAAAAGTCGCTCTAAGGCATGTGTAGCTCTATCAGTTGTTCATATTTATTATTATTGTCGCTTGTTTTCTTAATTCCTCACTTTAATATTGTTGTCTGAGGTTATGTACAATTTTATTATTTAATTAACAAGAAAAATTATGGCTTACATTTTTTCAATTTTTATTTTTTTTTATTTTCATTTTTCATTGAACAAAAATCATAAAAGTTAAGAAATATTCAACAGAAAATAATGTACATTTTTCATGCATACATAAATGTTATGTATGTTTAACAAACTGACCGACAAAATGAAAACATGTAAAGCTATTTAAAAAAAAAAGTTTTTTTTTTTTTTTTAATTAAAATTTTATTGTTTAATTAATTGCAACCAAAACAGAAAGCAAACCGGCATAAAGCCAAGAATTTGTTATTGTTTTTGTTAATGTTGTTTATATTTATGTCATATATTATTTGACGTTTTCTGTAAATAATTATTATTTGTATTTGTTTTAGAAAACTTGTATGAAAAAAAGTGTGCTTGCGTATGCATATGTATGCGCAGGTACCTGTATGGATGTATTTTTATAAAAATACTTATACTTTCGCCCTTATATTCGACTCTTTCCTCTTCCTCTTCCTCTTCTTCTTCATCGTTTTTTGCATCGCTTGCATTGCTCTTATTATAATACTTTTCATTTGTATTTATAATTAAATCAACAAAAATATATATTGGTTTAAAAATTCAATCTAGAAATCAAAACAAATCTGTTAATACACTTACATACCTGAACTTATGTAAATACAAATACTTGAATATATTATTATATTATATATTTGTAAACAGAATTTTTTTGAATCTATTATTAAGAAATATTTCTCTTACGGTCTAAGGTCATCTTGTTATAAGACATTGTTGACAACGTCGAAGTTACAGTAAGGGGCCGACAGGAACGACGCACGTATTGCGGCCAACAAAATAAGAAATTTCTTACGTTACTATAAACAAATTATTAATGATAGTCAATCAGATGCAATATATTTATTCGATATATGCAACTTAGAACTTGAGATTATTGTTATTCTCAAAATCTGCATTGCTCGACTTAAGCGCCTAAGATGAATGCTATCAATTTAGGGAATAATTTGTACACCTAAACCTTTGGCAATCGGATTTAAAATACACTTAAATGTCGCATACGACCCATTATTGTCACATCTGACAAAGTCAGGAGAAGAAAATACACAGAGCAAGAAGAAAGTTTACATTAACGCCTTACCCATCGCCCATCGTTTATTTTCCACAAAATGATTGAAATATAAGGTTAATATACTCCTTCGGCGGGTTTCCTTTTACACTTTACATCCTTTTCGTAAAAGTCGGAGAAAGCTTAACGCTCTCATATTCAATATATTCGAGTAGGCATTTAAATATATCAGGGAACAATTACTCAAGGAACGCCCCCTATCCGTGTAACACGGTCAGGATTAGAAAGAAGTAAGGAAATAGAAAGAGATGGAAAGCGGTTCTAGCCTAGCGGGCACAGGGCCTAATTGGTGGTATTATGCCTTTACCGACTAATAACTCACTCACTATGGCTACGACTAAAGTAAACTCTTCCGCGCTTGAGATTTGACCCCGCGAGCACTGTCTTGGTTGTCGCGATTCTTATCTACTCGCCCACTCATGCGAACGTGGTGCGGCTACCTCCGATCGCATCTCTATAGATTTGAGTCCCTTCCTCTTCCCTTAAGCTGGGACTACATACATTCTTTGCCCTTCCGGAAAACGAAGATGCTAAGGTACATTTTGAACTTCTGATCAATGGAAAAGGAAAGTGACTCGGATGCAGTTTAAGAAACAATCAGTGCGCGAAAGAAATCGTAGACTGTTAATTATGGAGCCTGTATGGTTATCCCCTTTATAAAGGCATCTGCAACGAATGTGAGAGAAAAGAGCTTAAGTTGAAGTTGATGGTCAAAAGTCTTGCACTTGCAAGTAGTATTCAATGTCTACAGTACACTGACCAACAAAATTAAGCTCCTCTGAACTGATTATTTTTCGCACCTATTTAATACCCGCACACAGTCGGGATACAGTACACTTCTCACTACAGATTTCTAAGGTCTCCGATGGGCATTGAAAAGCCCGCTACCTCTAAGGTTGTATCATTAAGTTTTTACAGCTTGGACATCTGATAGCGGTAATCAGTCGCGTATTGAAAGTCAAAAACAACAAAGATCTCGAATTTTGTGCTCTCAAGAAAAATGTTTAATCAGCAAATTTGGATTTTTTCATGGCTTTAAATATAGCAAACGTAGCGTCACTAAAACCACTCGCAACTTGTAAACAAGTGATCGAAATACACGAAACTTTGATAGGCATCGATTTGAGTTTTTAAGGCGCGTTCTAAAGATTATATAGCTTTTTTTGTTGCTAAATATGACTTCTATCTGTCAGTCCCAATCCCTGCTAACAGATATGATATACAGAGTTTGAGTTACAAACGTGCGGGCAATAATCGAATTATTTTATTTCCTCGATATTTTATGACACGGAAAGTAATAATAGCTTCTCCCGTTTGTTTAAAATAACGCTCTGTCAATTATGTCTCCCGGATGATGAAATTCCGATACCACAGGTGAGGTTTGACACTTTCTAAAACTAATACGAATTTTTTGTTAGTTACGACACTTGTACATGTGTCAGTAACGGAAATTACTGACCGATTTGTAAAGTTAAGTAGAGCCTAATTCCGTGAACAATTCCATTCATGTCCATAATCTAATCTAATCCATTCGCTTTATTGCACCCTACATCACTTGTACTGCAAAGGCATATTAAGTTTGTGAGGATGTATGCTGCATCTTGGGGAACATGAGATAGAGCCACATTTTATTATATCGATCGAAACTTATTTGTCCGGCTGTCCCTCTACAAGCCGCAATTTTTAAAATAATTTTTTATTACACTCTGCACCATTTCCGCTATTGTGTGGGGTCGTATGTGATACTCAAGAGGAGTTGAGATAAACCGACATTTTATTATACCGATCGATTAAGAAAGAGACTAAGGTAGGGAAAGGATTTAAGGTAAAGCAACGTGTTATTACACAGCTCGATTCAGAAGGTGAGTCTGTTACTTATATGTCCGTCTGTCTGACATGTTTTATGGCATGTCGGGCATGTTTTATCAACTTAAAGGCCGCAAAATTTGAAATAACTTTTTACTATATCCTACGTCGCTTGTGGGACAAGGGTATATTAAGTTTGTGCGGATGTATACTGCGCTCAGAAGGACTTGAGATAGAACCATCTTTTTTTACACCGATCGATTCAGAAATTGATTCTAAAGCTTATCTGGAGGCTATCGAAAATAGATCGGCTCGGACGACTTTTTCAATCGTTTCTCATACAAAACCTTAATTCGAAAAGTCATTGCATAAATAATTGTCGGGTATTTAAAGCAGGTGGCGTAGCCCGTCATAATGTTTCTGTTTGTTCTCTAATTCGTTTCAATTCATTTCAATTTCAATTCAACTTCAATTCAGTATTTTTTCAATTCAAATTGTTGTTGCCGTTAAAAGTGCATAAAGCAAAAAAAAAAATTTGTAGTTAATAGAATTACTTTTCCCATCAAAACTTTTGTAACTACTGAGATTTTCTTAATTATAGCGAAATTTAAAATAAAAATATAAAAATAAAAAATATTTCATTTATTAATGGTATAAGGTCGATATACTAAAAATTGATGATTTATGTGTAAATCAGTGAATGCGCGAACAACTCCTCTTTTTTATATGAAAGTTTTAATATATATATATATATATATATATATATATATATATATTTTTTTTTTTTGCTCTAAAGATATTAATTAAATGTCGGAAAATGCATGTATTTGCGTTATAGTTATAGGATTTTCTACGGATGCCAGTGTATGTGAAATGCGCATTAATAAAACATAAAAAATAATGTTTATACTCACTTCTTGACCGATTTGTCCCATATCTGCGTAATAATCAACCATTGAAAACATTTGTTGTTGATAAATTCAATTTATCTATATTTCTTCTGCTTCTTCTGTTGCTTCTCCTTTTTCGTCGTCTTCTTCGTCTTCTGTTGAAGTCTGAAGCCCGCTTTTTCTTTTTTGTTTTCTTTGTTTTTTTTTGTTTTTTTTTATTTTTTTTTTTTTGTTTTTGTTTGTTTTCAAACAACACACAAATACAGGCACAGTGAAAAGCACGCACACACAAAAACGGGCTCTCTAATGGTTGCAGCAGTTAGATTACTACTATTACCAAAAGCAAAGGTATGGTTGGTGCTGCCACGGGTCGACTCGATATGTTACACGAACCTGTTTGTTGTGAGTGGTTTTCAAGTCAGTCGATAGATAACAACGAAAGAAAACAAAATGTTTAATATATGCTGTCAGTGGTCACTGGAACAACAACTATGACTGCTACGTCAAGTTAATCAAAGCGATTTAAGGCTTGTAAGTAACTATTTTTCTCTTTCCAATTTTCTGTTTAAGTTTTAAGTTTTTTCTTTTGTTTTTGTTTTTTTTTTTTATTTTTTTTTATTATTTTTTTTTTTTATTCGTTTATTTGTTTGTTTGTTTGTTTGCTCCTTTTCTTTTCTTACAAAGTGGGACACAGTTTAAATGGTTCGCGTAAAGCAAACCCACACACTAATACGTTTCACGTCTAAACTCGGTATTAGAAGTTTTCTGACTTTCAAGTAAATTTCACTAGATTGCTATATTACAACAACAATGTGTAATAATTGCTGGCTTACAACTTGACTACTACCACTTTAACCGGTTCAAAACCTTTTTTTTTCTTTTTTTTTTTTTGTTGTATTATTTTTATTTATTTAGTTTTTTTTTTTTTTTTTTTTGGTGTTTTATTTTCCTTGGCCAAAGAGTTTTTCTGTAGCTTTCTGTAGCTCTTGTACGCTTTGGATTTTGTTATTATGGCTGCGGCGCCGCTGCTTGTCTCGTAAGGTAAGGTAAGCGACGATTACGATAAATTTTTCACCAAGTCTTTGACTGTTTTTAACTTGTTAGCTGTCAGCGTCACTTTTCGTTATAGCGACTCAAATTTGACATTTTCAAGTCCCGAGCTTTATGCGCCTTTGGGAATCGAACTAGCAAACGCTCGTAATGATTATTCTATCGCTTGTTCTTAACGTTTTTGCTATTACTGTTACTGTTATTGTTGGCTCGTGATTTAAACGTTTGTATGTATAGGTTTCACGTTTTATTTTGATATGCCTTTGACGTTGTTCTTGGTGCTGTTGCCAGTCTTCTTGTTGTCGTTGCTGTTGTTGTTGTCGTCGCTGTTGCAATTGGTTTTGCTTTTGCTGCTGGCCTGTTGCAAATGATTGCGTTCGCAATTGTACGCCTTTCCTTTTATTATTATTATTATTATTATTCTTATTATTGCTATTATTGTTGTTATTATAAAAGTGGAAGCTGTTGCTGCTACCGCTACTAGCAATCGTTGTAGTCGAATTTTCGTTATAAATTTGTTGAATTTTACTTGTAATCATTTGTATTTTCCACAAGTTGTAAGTTTAAGAACTCCGTATCCGGGGCAGAGGGGCAACAAGGAAGAGAACAAGCAAGCAAGGAGAGCAAGAGGTGGCGATGGCAGGCGCTTTTCTATATATTTTGTATTTATTTGTTTTTTATTTATTTTTTTATTTATTTCTTATTTTCACTTCAAATTTCAAGTGTTTTTTTTTTTGTTTGCTTGTGTTGCTGCAAGCGAAGACCTTTAAGTGCCCTTAACTGGAATTAAGCTTCCTGAAGGGTTATTTATTATTTAGTTTCGAAAGGTTTTCTCAATTCGAAGGGATTAATTAGTATACGTGGGCTGTGACGTAGTAGTCCTACAGTAGATACCAGAAATAAAATGCAAAAAAAATATAAAAAAAAAAAAATATATATATATATATATATATATATGTTTATGTGGGTGCGTGTGTATGTAAAAAAAAATAAAAATAATATTATAATTATATAAAAAATTTAATCAATTAATTAAATTATTAGTATTCAAATGCGCCGTGTACGTGTTTCGCTTACAGTAAATACATAAATGCAAAATTATATTAAGTTATAATAATTGACTTTTTGGCCTGTTGCCAAGTGCCGTTGTTTAGATTAAAGTACATTCGTTCGTGCATTCGCTCGCATATAAAAGTTTTATGATGAACAAAGGCTTCACACTGGCGCAATCATTTTCTGCATTATATCTGATAAAATTTTTTTTCTTTTATTTATTTATTTTTATTTATTTATTTTTTTTTTTTTTTGTTTAATTTCATATATAAATAATATCTTATCTTATTTCCCTCACTTTATTGCCGTTATGATTGCTGAACTGTGGTTGAGAAACTCAATTATGCTTAGATCCATCTTTTCAAGTTAATAAGCGAAGATGGAAAATCCTACGGATACCCTAGCGTCTTAATAACTTTCTGTTCCATGACGAAATTTAATAACTTGCTAACACGACTTCTGTTGCGTGTGGTCGCAATACTTAAGGGACACTTACTATCTAAAGTATCTTTTGACTTCTACTTATCAGCTTTCAAGTGTTTCAGCACAAAATGACTCGAAAAATGTTAGATCCCTAAGACGATTTCTTTCAAATCGCTTCCAATGAAGTTCTTTCAACAGACAGCTTGGACAGACATTAAGAATCTGCGTTACAAATATCAACAAAGTCAAAGAGTTTGCACTTTTCAAACGCCAATTAACTTAAAGAGATCTTTTAGATATTGTTGGCACTGCTGGTATACAAAAAGGATCAATACCAATTAATTTGAAGGATGATTTGTCCTTGTCTCAGGTGTTTTCTCCTCTTCTTTTTAATAGTTTCGAACTTGTTTGGCATAATAATAATAATGTGGTGTTGGGATGCGAAAATAAATGCTTTCTACAAGCGATCATAATCTCAAATGTATAATTATTAGCTACGAAACTTGAATTTATGCTTATGATCTGGAAATAGCTTAAGAATCAAGGAAAGGATGAATCAAGAACAAAAAAACTCGTTGCAGGAAGATTGTCTGAAGAAAAAACAAACGCTGCTATTACTAACTCAATCAGGCGTGTATCTCGAAATTTATGTCAACCGTTCACTACCAACCCACATTAATATCATAGAGCGGGTATTTTAAAAAAATGCAGTCTCATTACTTTTTGTTCACAGTAGTGTATCCTTTCTGTCAATAACAATTTTGAAAGTTTTTCCCGATACCCGAAACATGACAACATTGTAGGAATTATTCATCCATTAGGAGAATGGCTTCAAATCGTCTAAGTCTTGGATTCTACAGATGGCATTGGTCTATACGATGTTTGCTTCAGAGCAGGGCTAGGCAACTTTTTTCGTAAACGCATCAATTTTAAGTCTCATATCGCCGCGACAGCCAGAACAAGATCCAGCTATTGTTAAAAATGCGAAATTCTGCACCAGTTTACGCATCACATTTCACATTTGATAGCTGCACAGCTGAGCCGGAAGTGAAAACAGAGTGCTATGTGCGAACAAATAGAGTAATGCCTGCTTTAGAGTCCTGGCCAAGTTATTTGAATTTTTAAGGGATCGCTTAAAGGTAATATTATCAAACGAGCTCAGCACTTTCTGTTAATAAATTCAGAGCATTTTACTACAGAGCTTTACTACTTGCAATCGCTATGATTGCCTGATATAGTCAGTTAGACATTGCCTGCTGCCAGTGGTTTGTTTTGTACGCTTCCTCCTTATTTCCAGCAACATTATAGTATACTTGTATGTGCGTATATATATTTGTCGGTGGAAGTATGCAGCAAATTGTGTTATCTTCGTTCAGTTATAGTGCGTGGATTATCCTCCTTCCACATTACTGTTTGCCTCTTAAGAGATGCTCCTAGATCTCTTTAATTTTCCCACATAGAGGTTGGCTGATACAAATTCGGTAAATTATTTTTGCTCAAATCATGTGCGGGCTCCGAAAGAAAGGCTTCTTCTTACACCTTACACAGTTTTCTTAGGTTGATTTCGATTAATTTCGATTATTTAAGTTCTTGGCGTCGTCGTGACCGATGGTAACTTATCACAATTTCTTTTAATATTTCGATGAGTGATTTCCCAATTGCATAGTGCGTCTTGTGCAATTCCGGTAGGAATAGCAAACATTAACTTTAACAAGTAAGTGCTAACGAAAATGTATTGCAATCGAATCGCATCCATTTTTGAATATAACTTTTGAAGATAGATAAAAAAAAAAAAGAAGCACCAAAGACTGGCTGGTCGTCAGCAGTTCTTTTGAAAAAAAAAAAAAAAAAAAAAAAAGAAAGAAAACACGAAAGAGCAATGTTTAGCTCTCGCTTCTCTCAAACCAGCAAATGCTAACTGATAGAGAAATCACCATAAATCGCGATTGATTCCAATCATGGCAAATGTAGACAATGTACAACTGTAACCTATGCTTTGCGATTCGTGCCCTAAACAATTTTTTATAAAAAATTTTTATTACTAACAATAAAATTTGAAATTTAATCATCTCTAGAAGAAAAAATATCTTTAAAGAAGTTTTTAGAAACTCGTATTCAAAGAAAAATGTATGTTTCACGTGAATGTACGCTTGTGCTGGAAGGCTTTTGTTTTTGCTTTTGTTTTGATTTTTGTTACAAATCGTTAGTAAGCATTTTGACCGTTAGTCTATGTTTATCAATATATATATAATTAATACATTTACGCTACTACTAACATTTATCTTGCAACTCTTTTATTACAGAGTGTATTAAGCTTGGACGGATGTTTGTAACATCGAGAAGAATTCGCTCATTTTTCATTATAAGGATTTAAGCTTGTCTGTCTGTCTGTCTGTCCGTCCGCCCAGGCAACAGTCTCATCTATCTTATATATTCTGCTTAATCTGTAGTTCAAAATTTGTGACAGAATTTAGCAAAATCTGGCATACGGATGATGTATGTTAACCCAAGGATGGGCTTTGTCGGCAAAGGATGCAATTTAACGCCTAATTTTCAAATGAATTTGAAATCTAAATTGATGTGAAAGTTCTAGATCGGTCGGTTACTGTTTTTTGCAACGGCTCCCCATAATGGGAAATTTGTTCTACATAGATCTATTTTTTGTATCTTCATTCCATAAAAGGATTGATATGACAGCAACGTCTTCATTTCGTAGTGCCAAGTGATCCACATTGGGAATTTTCCATTAAAATTAAATATACCAAATACGTTTATTTATTGGGGCTCCCATGAAAGGGAAGCCTTCGTACGACAACACGGACTAACTACTAATATTTCATAGCGTAAGCTAATCCATTGTAATGATATCACAAAATAAATTAACTACACCAAATTTAGGCTACATAGTAGGTCTACTTTTTTTGTCCGTCATTCCATTTAAGGGTTCTCATGAAAAGTAAATCCTTACATAATATAAATATAAAAACATTTAGTTTATAATATATTGTGATAAGAATTGCCCTTAAACAATAATTTAAAATATACGTCCCGTTCCCGTGGAAGAGCTGTGATGAAGTAAGTCTTCATAAAGGAAGAGAGTCTGCTTTTTAGTATTCCATAATGAAAATGGATGAACAATATGATTATGGATATATATAAGCCAAAGGCATAAAGTCTAGGACTAAACACTAGGCTGAGCATTAGGAACTAAGATTATTGCCTTTTTTTTTTTAAGTTAAACCCGATGGAAGCACATCTTCGAGTGCTAGAGAGATTTTCACATTCACAAAGCAAATATTTAAGTGTAATATTTTGGCTACAATTGCAGAAAGGTGGAGCAGATTTGGTTAACTGCAATACTAGGGCCAAATTCTTGCAATTACTTCTCTCCTAATTGGCTACAGAGCAAAACAGTAAAATATTTATTAAGAAAATTAATCTCGTCAAACTTGGATCATATCAGTTCAAGTAGAGTTTTCAGTGTTTTTTTCATGGAAGTAAAAGAAGCCGAGGTTGAGCAGCGTCGGCCTTTTCCCACAATAATATATTTATGTCTGCTTAGAGGAGGAAAAAAAAAAAAGAAAAACTTTTAATCGACAGAATGGAAAATGGAATATTTTTGCCTTTGCCGTTTGATTATCATATTTAAGCGGTACCGGAGGGCACTGGAAATTTAAGGAGACCGATAAAAATCGTATGTTAAGGACTAAAAGTTTGGAGTTGAATATGTTCTGTCAGGTGAAATAATTCCTCAAGCGCTTCTTTAAGAGATTTATGTATGTATGTAAGAGATATATGTATATATATGACAGTACATATATATATATGAGTTAGAGACAAGAAATATGAGTTCGAGACTTTAATAAATTTATAAACTCTTGAACACTGCAGACTTATGCCCATCATCCTGTGTGTCCATCTGCCTATAGGCTACGGTAAGTTGACATAGGTTATAACAGAGTAATGCAATACCATTCACTTCAATCTATAAGTATTCCTAACGCGAATGACTCTCAGTAACTCAACTCAACTGCAACTGCAAGCATTTCCTAGGTTACCTAAGTTGCCATCGACAAAATGCTTTGCTCAAAAATCTGTTAAAATCATTTACAAGCACCGTTGAAATATTTCCGATCGCACTACTCACGCACAGCCCACAATTATTCATAGGCTTAAGAACTGATAATATATTTAATGAAAATATTTTTAAAATTTTTGCATATCCTTACGACAGGAGAAACATATCGTTCCCTTATTAAAATCTCTTTGCCCTGAAAGCCAGAAAAGAAAACGAATTCTGTTAACAATTTTGTATTTAGTCAATGCCTTTGCGTAAGGATTTTATTTTGCTGCTGCAATGTGACTTTATTCAAAACGCTTAAGTAACGTGATTTGCTTTGGTTAG